AGCTCAGAAAAAGCCAGTTGCTATTACGCTGGAAGGCGGAAACGCAGAGGCGCCTGCTAGAAGTCAAAGTAGAAATACCTAGGCTTCGAGTAGAAATAGAAGAATGTATAGCCAACTGTGATTTCGTGTCGGTGCCTAGGCATTGTTCAGGTGAAAGAAGTCAAAGTGTAGAGCGCTACTAATGAGTAGTATGGTGAAACGAGGAGGCGCGATGAACTCAGCGAATAATAACTCACCGCGGACGACAGACGCGTAGGACACGATTCCACCAGCGAGGGAAACAGATGACGCTGGAGTTTTGGCCTATATAACAACGTCACGGCAAGCTGAGTCGATGGCACATAGCGGAGCGTAGAATCAAATGGCTCCAAGAAGGAATTGCGCAAATGAGTCTGACTGTTCTATGTTCGAAACAGAGCAAAAACCGTTGGAATGGATTAGGTCCTCCAAAGACTCCAGAGGCAAACTGGCTAGGTGGGTGCTGCGGTTGTAATACCACTTGACGATAAGTTATGTGTCGGGGATGGACAACGGAACGGCAGATTTTTTATCGGGCCCGATGAGTGACGAGGATTTACCAAACGTTGCCTTCGGTGTTAGTGGCTTGGTGCTAGAGCAGGGTCCGGGGAGGTTGGCAGTTGAGCAACGAAAGTATAAGCTCCTGAACGGGCTGATAACAGCACGAATAATGAAACAAACTGAGACAACCAAAAGCCAAGACTAACAGTTCGGGCCGTTTCCGCGGAATATGGAAAAGCTGCAAGTCAACAAAGCCGGAATTCTAATGTCGACACAAGGGCGAGGTGCCACCCCGGTGTCGGTGATCCCAAGGAAGTTGAGGAAAAATCTGGTGGCCTCTTGTCACGAGATGGCCAATACTGGATGCATTATAACATATGATTTGTTTAGGCAGCGAGATTACTTGCCCGGTATAAAAAAGATGTCGATACATACGTGCTGTTGTGTCAGTAGTGTCAGCTCTAGTAGGGAGACAATCGAGGAATACCACAACCTATGTTCGTGATTCCAGTGTCTGAGTTTGGTGAGTTGTGGCCAATGGATGTGATGGGCCATTCCCGTTAACGAGACAGGACAATCAATACGTGATCGTGATGACCGAGCACTTCACCTACTGGACTGAGGCCGTTGCAATTCCGGATCAGAGGGCTAGCACGAGGAAATGTGCACCACTGACGAACCCCAATAGGGCGAAACGTGACTGGTGCCTTTCCGGACTAGGCTGTGCTATGTAGCTTGGGAGCTATTGGAATGAATACCGTAATATCTTTGTATGTTTCTTTCTCTTACCATAAAAGTACCTGAAAAAGATGCTCTCAGCACACGTCGCAGTAGTTAGCACGCTCTGACATCTTTCCACAGTAAATGATTTCCGCTGCACTAAAAGATGTCTGACTTCACCTACTTTTGGAGTTTCTGTGATTTCCAAATCATCGTCCCTCAGTCCCTCTTCTTCTTCTTCATCATCAGAAGCAGCAGGTGTTTTTCTGTTCCCGTAGGGTAGTACCGTAGTCAGTATCTCCAGGGAAATAACATCTGCGGCTGGTTCAGCGCAAGTTATCAAATCATCAACAAACTAAAATCTATTCCGTCGAATTCTGTTAATGAAGCTGGAGTGTCTATTAAGGCGAGGGCATTCCGCTAGTCAGATTGAACAAATCCGGCTTATCGGAAACATTTATGTACAATTTCTGGTTGAACTTTGAATCAAGCGGAACTTATCCAAAGCACAGTATTAGGAGAACAGCTACTAGACATCCATTTATTGTGACCGAGCTTGATAGCTATTCTTTACTCTTCCTATTTTCTGTTTCTTGTCTGTTGTTTAAACGCTCTACTGGGTTCGCCCGATTGGTACATCTGCGTCATTGTTAATGGACGCTCCTTGTCATGCGTTTCTCAGCAGCGCTGTTTGCAATAACATATTCTATTGGTTTTTTCTTCTCACCACTGTTGTACTTGGTTAGATTGAAGGAATATTTAGTTGTCACACAGTTATTGTACTAGTTTTCAACTTTTGGGTCTGCATTCCTTATTCGCGTTTGTTTCGTGACTTTTGTGTAAACGTTTCATTTCGTCATTCTGATTGGCCAGTGCCCGTCACTGTAAATGGACGTTCGCTTTACGCTTGGAGTCCAATGATGCTATTTTTAAGGACCTACGCGATTCGCTCTTGAGTACACGGTTGCTTATTCGCCATTGCATTTGACGTTGTTCCTTCAGTTGGTTGGCTCAAGTGTACTTTAGTAGCTTCCCTTCATTTTTTCCCTTCAAACTATATAAGCCACTGTGATTTCATGTATACAAGTCTCCTTCTGGCTCGTCTTGGACTTCTTCTTGCGGTCGTGCGGTGAAGGCGTCAGCGGCGACATAACACACAGCATCCAAGGCATTAACTGAAGCAACAGACGAAGTTCCTTTCGCATGAACATCATTAGTATGCAATTTTGTCATTGCACGAGCTGGGCTCGGTAATGTCTTTTCTAATATTTTGACAATCCCTTGGTCCAGAAGTTGAATTTGTGAAGTCATGATTGCACGCATGAAACTCAAGTGCGATTCTGTACATGGGTGTGACTAGGACAGTTGTCTATTGTTAGAATAATGAATCGTTTCTTCTTCGTCATTTCTTTGTCAATACTTCAGATCCACTCCTTAAATATGACAGCAGTCATTCACGCGGATTGGTTTGACCTCCAGGGGACAGGAAGGTTTTCGGGATCAGGATTTTCGAACGCACATGGTCTAGCTGAGTTAACAATGACTAAGGGGTTTAGCTTCCCCCCACTTGAGGTAGCGCACAACAGAACTGTGAAGAAACGTTCGTTGGAATGTTTCCACTCTCACATGTGTCACCATTCATAACAAAGTTTGTTAGGAATCACCTTGAAAAAGAGACCGCAATCGTCATAGCTGGAAAATTTTTTGATGAAGTCTTAACAAACTCTTCAGGCACTTAATTGGATTCACCACACAAAACTCTCTGGGAAATGTCATGTCGAATTTGAAATTTCCCCAGCCAATCATTGGATGCCTGTAAATCTGCAACCTCGAATTCCTGTGAGAAACTGTTAGCAATTCCTTGAATCTTCGGTCCAGAAATTCGAGCGCTAGTTGCGCTCATTTGCTTGAACTAGCGCAGTGTAGCCTCACTGACCATCATGTGAATTTTCCGCCTCTTCTTTCATTATCGTATCTCTCCAAGCACTCGTGTTTATAAGTAAGAAATAAATATTTTATTCTCGAATTCATCGAGGCACGTCATATGGATGTTGCTATCTGTTGTACTGCTAACACAAATATGCCCTACCGTCTTTCTTTGACAACTGCTTTAGAGAAAATGTAGGAGATTAATCTTTACCTCCAAAGTCAACTGTCTTTTCTTTGGGTCATAATGTTGAATCACTCGTAATGACCGTTCCTAAACTGTTCAAAAGCACGGAGGAGATCTAAGGTCTACAGTTCTGTTGGCGCAACATTAATTAGATACAATAAGTAACCGCAACTGGTTTCGCTCTCAGGCAGACAGCAAATAGAGCCGGATAAAGACTCGACAATTAATATGGGCGTAATCGTCAAGTTGACAACAATTCAAGATGTTAATGAACTGGTGGTTAGATTTGGTGTTTAATTGAGGATTTGACAATTACTGAAACTCCTAATTGATCTTAGGGGTAGACGAAGGCTTGCCTGTAGACAGGTGATGCAGGTTGAACACAAATCGATCATTCCGTCGGGGCGGCCCTGTGGGGACTCACACTGATCTAAATGGTGCGCATGCGCGTAAACGCTGACGGCCGGAACAAACATGCACATGGTTGGCGGCATCCGGTTTCGGATTTGCCTGTCACTGTGGCCAGCCACAGGACGCATGCGCCTACAAAGGACCATGGGTGGCTTGCGCTGCACCACCCACAGCTCCAACCACACACCCCATATCCAGTGTAAACCCGAAGGAATAATACCAGGAGGCATGTGGATGGGAACCACGTTTCATCAACGGAGCCGGCCCACACTCCTTCACAGGCAAACACAAGCATGCTGTAGTTGGGAATCAAGCGCACACAAGGCGGTGGCTGGACCGTAGTCCTCTCCACACTGAGTGCATGGAACCGCTCTTTGAGCCTAGCACGGCCACAAGAACCGTGCACCCCGTCCCCTCCAGCAACGACCAACTGTCTCCTGGAGTCAGTATGAACGATGTAGTGGGTAATAGACAGGTGGGCACTTTGTCAACATACACATCAAGCGCAACCACACCAGGGATATCAAATAACAGCCATTCACTTTAAACGACAAGCTGAAATAAAATAAATCCAGTAATGCATACAGATACAGTGGCATAACTCTTCGCCAAATTACCATATGAAGTAATTTGGTTAGCAACAAATCGATGATAAGTAAGAAATGTCCACAAGTTACTTAAAATGCTACAAACGCAACAAAATTACCGAAGATAAGCGCAATTAGTGTAAGCAACATGGCCAGTTAATAGAACATTATTCAGGGAGGCAGAACAAACCAAATAAAGCGGAATGAAATTCAGCCAGCTATAAAAGACCTAGTTTAAGTGTAAGTCGGTTTAGCCGAACTGCGGTGAAGAAGCATCATGAATGCTACATCAGCCTCAGCCACATACCCACAGAGAACATGCTCTATCCTCACTGAGTTGGGGGTCAGAGTCCACACATTGGAGTCCGGCTGCATACCGTATTATCGTAACAAACGAGCGATTCGGGAACCACTGGATGGTAAGCCTTCAAATGGAATTATTACTGATTGTCATAGCCCAAGTGCTTTGGTTCCCTAAGGTTTACACAGTGACCGTCCAAGCTATGAAAAAGTGGTCAACGTAGCGAGGGGGTCAACATATAGAAGTAGTCGACTTTGGATGTTATACTGTAGTTAAATTGTGGAAAAGACGAGTCCACATCCAATATTCCACAGTAAAGTTAGGTAACACGCATCATGCATAAACGTACCCCTTTCCACGATTTCCCCAACGTACACTTTGGTCAGCCCAGCCATAGCGATGACCACACTTTGGGATACTGCGGTTGATGTGATGGATTGCATAAGCTGCAGAATAGTGAAAACGGCGGAGAGTAGACGGAATCAGTACCAAAGGTAAACAAGATGAAGTGTATCTGAGCAATGAGCAATGTACTATAAGGCACTACCCATGAGCAGGGGTATTTTTGATGGTTTTTACAGTTCATCGTTTACTGGCCTAAACGGCTTGCGAGTGGCCCCAGCCGCTAATGGCCATCGTCTGGATCCTGATTTAGCTGAGGGAAGTGCACCACGAGCCATCTGGTGTTTTGTCGAGTGTGTGGAGAACCATCTGACTTGGAAGCCATTGCAACGAATTCTCAGTAAGGAGTACATGATGTGAAAATCAAATGGTAGTCTGGGTGTTCGCTGAGCTCAGCAGCTTGGCTGCAAAAGTCTCACCAGCACTCTAGGTGACATCGTCAGCGCGCGTGTATGAATAGTGTTTAAAAATAAACCGAACTTTTGTAATAGCGCGGCAACCGGCAGAGGGAATCCGGTGCGGATACTGAGCGCACGTGGATGCATGTTTAGATAACAAATTGCCATTTGCCGCATTTCGCTCTAACTGTTGGTTGGGGAGCTACTGGTGTTGAAGTAAGCACTTGCACAAGCTGTTCCTCGGATTAGTGTCAGTAACAAAGAAAGAGCTTGAAGGACGAGTGGGTGAAATTTGCTACAAACGGCAAAATTTTTACAAAGACATTTCAATATACGGGGAGGACTGTACGAGTCGCACGCAGTGCAATATGTGGCATGTGATTTGAATACGGCAGGATGTCGGTCGGGACGATACCTAGCCTGGACGACCTTCCACATCAACAAACGATGACTATGTCGAGACAGTTCGTGCAGTGATCCGTGGAAATAATCATTTAAGTGTTCGAGAATTTGCTGACGAAGTGGGCATCAGTCTAGAATCATGCCATTAAATTCTAGCCCGTTTGAGGGATGCTGTGCACAGGATGAGGCCTGAAATGTGGAAAAACCAGACTTGTAGGTTACATCATGACAGTGCGCCGGCACACTCATCGCTCCTTGTCTGCATTTATCTAGCAAAACATCACAATCTTATTGTGCCACATCCACTGTATTCTCCGGGCCTGGCCTCTGCAGACATCTTCCTGTTTAAAACAAGATATTCGCTTTATAATTCCAAACAGGAAAATCAGAAGACGTAGGTTGTGTGATGACGTCGCCATTTCGTGCATGCTTATCGATCACAAAAACATGTAGAAATGATATGTAAATGAACAACCAACAATGTCAAAGAGATCACATATAGCTCCGGATTTGCGCTACCAGGGTAGGCTTAAAGTCACAGCCAACTGTTTTTGATTGCACAGCGGTGGTCGCTCGTGATTGATAACGATGGCCTCCAATAGCCAAAGCATGTGAGGCCGCCGATCGCGCAGTAGGACGGTGAATGACTCACCAGGATTGACTCGGTGGCCGGTGGTAAGCAAGTGCTTTGTGATTGCCGAGGCAGCTCAGTTCCTCGATTCAACCGATTCCATCATTACAGACACCATTCGGTTGCATAACCACTTGGGGATGCGTTCATTGATTCTGACACGAAATGGTGACGTCATCATACAGCCTACATCTTCTGATTTGCCTGTTTCCCAAACTTAAAACCAGGTACGTCGTTTCCAAACCACATAGTAGATTCAGGACAATGCGACAAGAGACCTGCGCGCCATCCAAGAAAGTGCGTTGCAGGAGGCTACCCAAAAATAAAAGCACCGTTAAGAACGGTGTATAGGGGACTACTTTGAGGGGGAAAGTACTTAAAATGTTGCGCAATGAACAAGAAAAACGTTATAACAAAAGTTCGGTTTCTTTTTGTACCCCTCGTATGTAGCGCAGCGGCGCGGCGCGGTGCGGCTCGAAACGTATCATTACTCACTGACGCTTCGTATCGCCCCGCTCCGCTCCGTTACATACACGCACACTAACGATGTCACCTCGAGTGGTGACGACGATCTCGCAGAGAAACTGCAGACCTCAGCGAACACTCAGACAACCAACTGAACAATTGAAGCCACCAATATTTGCTTCTATATCACATGGGAATCAATAACGTTCGACCAGGTGTTTGTGGATGTGTTGGTTGCAAACATTGATATACATGTAGGATTCGGAAACAGTGGTGATTCTGCTGGAGTGCACATACGCACACTTTACATTCTATCGACGTTTGATGAAGCTACAAACAGTGGTTTATAGGAAGGGTGTGAGCGCACAAAATAAGTAGAAATATCAAAACAACTTGCTACGCATAAAGTGTCGACGCGCGCTGAGGAGGTGTCCACATGCAAACAACTGGACTGGATCTGTAGATTCCGCTATGTGATGGAGTAACCTCAGGGCAAAGTCCGTCACCGCGGTTTGCTGTGGCTAAAACTCCTAACCTCCAATGCCAATGCTACGGTAATCAAAACTGGTGCTTCGGTCAGATCAAGCAATGTGGGACTAATTAAACGTAGAGAGGATCTTGCCACTCAACCGCATAGAGATGTGAAGTCAGGTGATGACGCTTGGCAGCTTGAGATCGGTTAACAGAGATGTAACCTATACACAGTGGTAGGTAGTACAATCCAACCTGCTATGGTGACCAGTCAAAATCATCCCCAACTTTTTCTACTATGAGTAATATCCCCATGTATAAACCTGTCCATGGCGAGCACTTTTTGTCCGTCCCTTGAGTGGTCACTGTAGACAGGTTTGACTGTATTCTTATTATTACCCATTATTATTATACCTACCAAATAAGTAGGTAAACCATATTTCCGGGTAAATGATGCGTGATATCGAGCGTAAAGAGAGTATGTGTAAAGAGGAACAATAATGCAATTTCCGCGTGCCCTGATACCGTGGAATACTTAGTAGGAAACAATATAGACCTCATCTTCACCACTAAACCAAATGAGTCCAACGTCTTTCCAAGGTTGAATGCCTCAAGGCGAAACGGCACATTCAGCCAATTGGAGCGTTTTTTTCGAAAATGAGGTTCAAACAGATGCGCATCGGAATTCAGTGGCTATTAATCAAATGATGGAGGAGAACAGCCATAAAAGTACGTCTCAACTATCAGAAAAAGTACAAGTGTACGGAGTAAATGTCAATTTCTTGAGTGAGCTCTAACAAATATCTATTTGACAACTAGTTATATAGTGCAGCAAAGGCCAGATGTAGATTTCAAGCACCGGGATCTCAAGCAACATGCCATACCAGTGAATGCAGCAAAAAAGTAGACGTACTGAAGGAGTAAATTTGAAATAAGTAGCCGTGGTGCTTGGAAACTTTGGGCGAAGTACCATTTTTGGAGACCCCACAAAACACATGCGGATTTTTGTGCAGACCAGTGCATGATCCGAATAAATGAAAGTGGACCAAAAAGACCTGCAATCCCGTAGCCGCCACGCCATCTGAAGCTGATTGCAATGTAATCAATTGGAGATCACGGTTGTGTTGGCGAAGGAGAACGTCGCGTTGCGGAACGCTTCTTCGTATGCCTGAAGTTGGTGCTCGAGAGAAACAGACGATTGTCTTTGCACAATGTGAGAAGTCGCTCTCCGTTATCTGAGCGGTTCTCATCGGGCGCGTGGTGACCACAAAAGTGGCGTTTGTATGGTAACAGAAGATCAACGCATGCATTGAAATCCCCAGCAAGCAGAACGATATCTGAGCCGTTAGCGTTACACAAGAGCTAATAAAGCTTCCCATAAAAGTTGTGCTTGATTGAGCTAAAATCGCAGCCAGTTGGAGCGTACGCGGAGGTCACAATCAAGTTGCGTCTCTCCTCGCCGAAATGTACATAGTCGGCTGTTAATCAGGAACCAGTCCAGTCTCATCCTTGCCACCTAGTGCTGTACCTACACCTGCCACACCCGCTGAGACTGCTTCCGGGTCTCCAGAAAGATGCAGTTGATGCCTGGCTTCGTAAATAGTGCGCGATATCAGCGTAAACATAGTGCTAGGGTCTTGTAATCTGGTTTCGGGAAGACAGCAGACGTCAACATCCGGGGACTCTAAGTTGCGCTATAGACCGGATTGCTATCCAATATGTACGAGTGTTCGTATGTTGAAGCACGCCACACAGAACAAGAATCGGCGTCGAAGGAGAGCCATAGGTTGAACTCCATGATTCGCGGTGCAACCGGAATCGTAGGCAGATACATGAACACAGGAATTAGGTAACGGATAACAAGGATTGTTAACAAACAAACAATTAGCGTGTGATGAAGTCGCGTGAATGCAAGAAGCAGAAACAGTAGCAGATGAGCACATGGTAGAACAGCCCATGGTTTTGTCAAAGGGCGTGATACTACCCGGTTGCCCAAGCCGAGGTAGGGTGCTGACTTAGGGTTCCCCACACCGAGCCTTTGGCTAAATAGCCCACTCGCAAGGCAGTAGGGCGAGCTCGGAGAATCGCGTCCGCTGGGAAACGGTGACTAGTTGCTCAGTTCATACATCTATCGTTTGTTCGGTTCCCAAACAGGGGCTCGATCCTCCCCACCAGAGCGAAGCAAGGGGCAGTGACTTTATTTAGTGGCGAGTCACATCCGCCACTTCACAGTGTAGTTACACAGACATATGTGACTTTTGAGAGGGAGAACGCTTGTAGTAGAATACTGTCGCCGAACTATTGGCTAGAACAGGATAACTCCAACTACCCAGCTGGCACCACGAGGAGGTTGTTCGGCAAGCCAGTGATAAACTGAAGAACTCCTGAGGTCCAGTAAGAGTTGGGGAGGATCAAGTTGAGCTATTTGTAAATGTATCATACTAAAGCGGTAGGCAACAGCTAGGTGTTCGTGGGGCGAGTTCGGGCTTATGTGCACAGGAGAAGGCAGCCGCAAGATAATTCGTATGAACCTAATTGAAGCCCCTTAGGAACCCGTACGGAATGAACATTATATCGCCATAGGCAGCATGGCTGTCCTTAAGCTAGTGATTACGCTTCAATGACCAATGACACCAGCCCAAATGTTGTTAGGATAAAAAGCTCGTCGGTGCTAAGTCAATATAGGTTAGGTGACTGCCGATGAGTTCATTACATGCAACCACAGAGATGCAGATATCCTACAAGGTGACTCGCTAAGCGACGGTAAGTCAAGCGGCTTCGTGTGCAAATCTGCGGTTTTTAGGATTGTCGGTTCCAATTAGACAGTAACAATTTGCATATAAGTAGGGTAGAAAACCGTCTCGACAATTAGTGATGGTGTTTAGGTCCACCTAAGACCAAAAAGGAATTTTCACGATTTAACTTTGGAGGTGAGCATGGATCCTCACCTTCGCTCATCAAGGTCGGACCAAACAAAGCGGATCAGGTGCTTCGGTGCTGAGTTGCTCATTTAGCTGAACGATTCCGTGCACACAGTTCGTCAACGAAGCAAGTGGGTTTGCTCGGTGGACAACGATAAGTGGCTTAAGTTGTGGACACAGTTTCTCAAACAAAATCGTAGACGGACGCATCTGGTTAGTAGACTGATGTTTAGAAATAAGTAGCGATCGGGAAAAACAGCGAGTCACAGATTGACTGACTGCAGTATATTCAGTAGAGCAGGTTCGAGGTACATGTGAAGATTCCGGACGGTAAAGGAATAGCACGCGAAGCTCAACGACTGAATTGTAAGCGCATCAACTGCTGCGGTTTGACAAGCGTATACAACGACGATGCTCCGATGAGCTGAGTACCAAAACTAATAAACAGAGCGGAAACGCATGTATTCAGCAGCACGACAACGATAACAGTGTCAACCGGTTCAAGCGTATATGAACAAGTGACTTCGTTAAAGATTGACGCAGCAATGGTTAAACCGTATGATTCATCGTGATTACGTTACACATCAAGATACAAAAGAGAATAAAACAGACAATAAAAATAACATCAACTTAAACGAACTACTGCGGTTTCATTTGCGTAACATGCCCAGTGCTGTTATCGAAAATACGCAAGCGATTGCTATTGGTCGCTGTGCAGTGTTGGGAAGTGAGAAGATTTATTTGTACACCAATCACACCGGTAGCTGAACGTGGCTATGTTGTTATTAGCGGCATTTTTCGACACGGCCGAGCTCTTTTCTTCCGAGTCGTTAGTAGACAAAGTGTACACAGTAACGGGCAAACCACTGGCAAACAGAACTAAAAGACAAGTGTGACCGAGAACCTGAAGGACTTCTAGGCAGTAAATCTTATGGCACGTTCAGGTGAATTTGTTCGGCAATTTAGGAAGAAGACAAACCGGGAAAATCAAATGAACTATACGGTCAAGAATACATTGCCAACTTGTAACAGGGCGACCCAACAACGGTAACGTATGTATCACGCTCAGTAAGCAGAGAAGTTCGAATAACGACGCAATCTCAGGAAGTACAGTGTCGGCTGACATTACTGTGCCTATGTGCTCGAAACGCGCGAAAGGCATGCAACATCACTTGTCAAGATGAACTGACAACAGAATGAATCGTTGTATGCAACTCACCCGACGAACAGACGCCTTCGCGAAGGTGGCTCTTCGGAACGCCTCGAACCGGTTCAACTGTTCCTCATCGAAATGCGCTAACAAGGCCAACAGTTTGCGATCTTCCGCTTTTCGCATCTCTCGTTCTTGCTCCAGAGCTGGGGAAATTAAGTGAGAAACGACAGATTCAGTGTCGTCGTCCTCCTCCTCTATTTCATCCTCCTCTTCTGGGTCTTCGTCATCCACTATTTCTTCTGTGCGATCGGCATCTTCAACCTCAGCTGACTCGCATTCTTGTGAAGATGTGATCCCATCCTCGATTGCGGCAGCTGACGGTAGATCGAGAACAGGAGAACTTGTTTGTTCTAACGGTTCTATTTTGTTCCGATTTTCTTCCTCACCTGGAGGCAAAACTATATCGGATACAGAATTTTTGCATAGCTAGAAGAAAATTGCAAAATATGGCAGTGGAAGTTAGAACACAAGAATCTAAGGTTGCCGAAAGAGAACAAGCAGTAAAGATGGTGGAAATTTGACGCAAGAAGAGCTGGGACTGTTTACGAATGGGGTCGTAAACTCCAGCGACAGCAGTTGTAACACCAACCTGATTGTGATTGGATTGCTGCATGTGTTGGAAAGAGGATAGTTAGTTGTTTGATTAAGTCGCAGCTAGAAACAAGTGCTTCTAAGAGACGAACGCGAGTGGTATGTAGTAACTCACATGAGAATGCAGAACATGTTTCAGAGGACAAATGGTCCATTCACACCCAGTGATCTGTACGCTGCTCTGAGCATACTAATACCCACAGCGCCGGATCTGCCAAGAATACCCAATTGAGATGTGTGCGAATTCAAGAGCATAACATACCGTCCTTACCAGCATTCCTATCTACATGGGAACATTGAATCTAGTCTAATCTATTCAGAGGCATACAAGTGGATATGAATAGAATGCTTCTCGGTGGCGTGAGACATGGTCCACTAAGTGGTCTGATCAATTTGTACAGCGGGATCGTATAAAACGGGGAATTGTTCAGTTTGTTCAATCCGGTTCCTGAACGCCTTTTAAGAGTGGTCGACTAGTTAAATGCAATAGAAGGATAGAAAGATTGACAGTAAGAATGTGTTGGCATAGACAAGTTCAGGCGTTGTTTCTCGTTAGACAAACATGCAGAACCTAGGGACTTGAGCCATTGGACGGCAAGGTCATAGGTTCAGTTTCGACAGAATCCTGCGGCACCGAAGTGCCGAGGACTCTGGCTTGTCTGTTCGCACAAAAGAAAGGATGTTCGCCTTTCAAAGCTGATTTGATCTGACCGGCTGACGAGTTCCTACAGGAGGAAACGACCATCCGGCACCTTAGAAGATATGTGGTGACTTCATGACTGACTTTGCTGGTAAAGAATACGGTTAAGTCTTCCACTTTGTTTACTATTCCGAATAAACTACTCAACTCCTCCGTAAGACTTCTGGTCCAATCGAAAAACATATTCAGAACTCAAAGGACCTGGGCAAAATAACGTGTTAAATGCTGCCCAAAAACATGGCGCAACTGAGGTAGACCTTGGTTGTAGTTATAAACAACCAAAGGACCTTCAGCTTTGAAAATAGAAGAGTCAATTTTTAAAAATGGCAATGCGAAGTTGTCGTCACAACCAGCCTTGGAACATGCAAGAATGTTCGAGATGAATGCGACAATCGGTAAAAATCAATTGCTAAAAAAGTGGTCTTTTCTGAAAATTCCCACTTCTGCTGGGTAAATAATGTCAGAATTCGTTTCAAATCCGTACATTGAAAAGCTTTCTGTTTAAGACAGACGTTCTGCATGTGCGGTGACTGCGCGATGGCTCGCGTCATACATTGTCCTCCCCGCAAGATAACACTTGGCCCAGTGTTCGAGATACGAAGTTCATGAAGAAAAATACGATAGCCTTGACAGTTTTAAGGCCGGTTTTATGACAGAAAATGGGTTGGAACTTATACTATTTGTCCCGGACTCCAGGAATCAACTGCAAAAGAAAATCAGCCAAATGAAGGCAGTTTACATATGCAGTGGCAGCTGGAAGGGTGTTACCGACAACAGAGGAAGTCGAGTTAAACTTGAAAATATGGCATTATGTAAGAGATCGATTCATCAATGTGATCAGACTAAGTGGGTTTCAAGGGCAGTCACGTGACTGGACGAGCAGAAGAGCCGTGCAACCTAAACACTGAACACATGATCATGTGGAAAAGGAGGTGTATCAAATCAGCAGCAAAACAGTACAAACAGTAAGATATGGACGAAGAGTACACGAATTGAAGGCGTAACAGTGTGCATGATGTGCATAGGACCATATCGGACTTAAAAAAGATTCGCACATCGTTAACTGGAAGACGATGTGTGCACGCAGAGGGCGTCAGACAGCCGCCGGAATTAGCCACCTGGGGACCAGGCCTGTTTTCTGCAAGTTCGTACCATGCATGACATTGGTGGATGAGCCGCGCTATGTCGCAAGTAGATATCACTCATGACTGTCCGATGCCGTCACTCATGACTTCGTGGCGTAAGTCGCTGGCTCGTAGGAAGAAAGTCGTGGGCTTGATTCCGACAGGATTCGGTGGATGCATGTTATGATGAGTCCCAAAGGAACGAAACAGCTGACTAGCGCTTTCCTGGATATGTAGTGACTGTTGGCCTGAGTTTGTCTGCGAGGAATCGTCACAAAATCTCAATAAATTCCACTACTACTCACATAGGAACATAGTTGAACGGAATCCCCGACACTATTGTTTCTGCTAATCCGACTTATTTCGAGAATAAGTCTCGCACTCCACCTGTAGTTGGGCCAACTTGTGATGCTAATGAAGTATCCTCAGAGACGTGAACGATTGGTCGATTTTCTTGGGTGGTGTTGAGGTGCTTGCAACTTACACTTATGAGTGTCATCGTCAGTAAACAAACTATATGGCGGTCACGATCATCGACAACAACAGTAAGTCATTAATTTGAACTGACACTTCGCCAGCATGCAAGCAATGAGTTGGAGAATAAGCAGTAGTAAGTGAATAAGGATGGGGACATATCCAAAAGGTTACATCACCTAAGATAACATTCAGGGTGAGGGCGCACACAAATTGTCAACAACATAGTCAAAAATAGCTAGCTATCGTGCAAGGATAAGGCGGCATCAGTGAGACAAGTTACTTGAGATTCAAGTTTCCACGCGTCCTAATCAGTCAATACCCCGTAGATACCTCAGCAACAAACACATCTTAAACAATTGAGCAAACGTCCCAGGTGTAGACATCAGAACAAAAGCCAGCTGACTCTTGTTCTGACATCTGAAACAGGCAGTCCGACTAGGAGACGAAAGCAAACGCACCACTAGTGTCGACTGCAAGCCATGTTCTTTAATACCTCGAGCCAATCACAAGGCGGGTCACAAGGATTCAAGCCTGGAGGGAGAAGTGGACCAGCAGCACCCAATGTAGTCGTCAATGTCGCTGACCTAGAGCTGTGGACCACGCGCAGCATGGAAACAATTGTAGGGCAATTTTAGCGATGTAAATGATCGTACCCTTGTATTGGGGACTTATTTTGGCTGGAGAGAAAAAAGTGACTAGTTACTTGGTAAATTATGCCCATTCAAAGGTTAAAAAGGTAGTGGCGAAGAAATTCCTCTTCGAGATATCTCTTCAGCCATGTGCAATTGTAAAGTACATGTCTACTAGAAACGAGTGGTCTTCCGTGCTTCCTTAGCTGCTTCCCTTACACCAGCTTCTGACTAGGCGGTCGAGCATCCAGCCGACTACGGGTATTTATTTTGTGTTGCAACTATAAGGGTCTGTTACGGCACGTCGTACTAGTAGGACACGGAAGAGCTTGGAACGCCGGACAGGAGGAACATTACGAAAGGGCTGATGCTGCGGATTTCATTACTACGGTTTAGTTGTTTCACTATGCATGTGCCACCCATACACGGTTCTGTGCCACATGTTTCTACACTACGGGTGCCAGACATCTGTCATGCAATTCCGTATTATGTATTATCCTTCTCGAACTCTCGTTTCCCTCAGCAATGCAAGTTAAATGTTCGAATAAGTCTATGCTTGTAATGAAACTGGTGAAATCATGTGGTATTATAATTGTTTTTGATGTTGTAACTATAAATCCGCCTTTCGTTCGCATCGCGTCTAAATTACGCTGAGTGAACGCTTGCTGAGCAACTCGTCAAGGAATTCTGGAGAAAGGTTGTTCCATTCAACGTTTCTTAGGTTGAAAAGGTGGGCTTCAGTTTACTGTCTAACAGCGATCGTTTCACGCCCAAGTGCAGCGTGAAATGAGCTTGGTCTCACGCTGGGAAATATCCCGTGTAGTTAAAGGACAGAAGCAACAAATGTTACTGGAGAATGAAAACCCCAAGAGACAAGTTTTATCGGGAGATCCACGTTACGACCTGTCCACTCAGTAAGTTTACCACGAAAAACAAAACCCGACTACAGCTTCCAACGGAAATTTTGGAAAACGCTCTTACTGCATATAGATGTCAAGTTTTACTTTCAGGGAAAAGCCTATCGATAGATCGATGGTGTTGCTATGGTCAGCTCATTAGGACACTTGCTGGCTGACGTATTCATGGGTATGATTGAAGAGAAATTAGACAACATTATCAAGTCCGCAACTTTATATAAATGCTATGTTGATGATGTATTGGATTCGCGTGAGGACACTACACTTGAAACTAGAGCGCTCAATGATGTGGGAAACTGAGCACAACAGATGTCTCTCATGCTTATACTGTTCACACGACGATCAAATGGCTCGATCAAAAATTGCCCTACTGGAAGGCGACCTGGACGGTCCAGTAGTTAGATTGTAAGAGTTTCTCGCCAATCCATCACAAACGTTCTTCAGTTCGAACATTAGTCCATTGGGCTGATATGATTTGTACCCCAGATACACTGGAAGAAGATAAAGAACTGTTATTTGACATGCTATAATCTATTAGTTATTCATTACAGCTCATAAAGCGCAGCAATGGCACGAGAAATTAGATAAAGAGATGAGAGTTCAAAAGAAACGGGTTTTCACTGAGTTGATTTTCAAAGGTAAAAACCTCATGAAAATCACCACTAAACGAATAAGCGCCTCAATGAAAAAGGCATAAAATGCTGCAGAATTACGCTGGCTCGTGTCCACATGACCACGGCTTAAGTGATCAGTGAAGTCAACGGTGTCGAAACAGTGGGCGAGCAATTGTTTATACAAATTCACAGTAACTATGGAAACATATATGTTGAGCGCACCGATAGAAATCTAGATGTTCGATTAGATAAGCACGTTTCGAAGTAGTTTCGCAAACGGATGAGACATGCGACAGTGAATCGAGAAACGAAATTATCGCGGCAATCACGGAGGCATTTGATGAGTATCGGTCACCACGTAAACGGGGCTACCGTGTCCTCTGCACGGCAGTAACGTGTAAGCCAGTGGATGGTGAACGGCGCTATATTACATCTAGTAATTAATACACGATGGTCGTTACCGTACCCCGTGGCTCAGTGGTTTCAACCATGGAATGGCAACAGTCGAGTTGAGGGTTCGAGCTCTACCAGGGTCCGATGGAATGCGCACTGCTGACGATTCCCGAAAGGATGAAACGCGCGTACAGTGCTTTTCCGGGCTTGTGGCGGCTGTCTGAGTGAGTCTAGATGTGACGAAATTCTACCTATACCATTCAACTCCTCCTACCAATCTTCTGTAATCAGTAAGCAGACCAAACTGCTTATAATGCCGTAAGTTAATTGGCGGCTTAAGTTTGGTAAGCTCGTCGCTTGGTGAGGATGCTACCCTGTCCGCTGCACCGCAGTAACGTGTAAGTCAGTGGATAGTGAGCGGCGCTATATCACATCTAGTAACTTATTCACGATGGTCGTTGCCGTCTCCCGTAGCTCAGTGGTCTCAACCACGGACTGGCAACAGTCGAGTTGCGGGTTCGAGCCCTACCAGGGCCCGATGGAATGCGCACTGCTGACGATTCCCGAAAGGATGAAACGCGCGTACAGTGCTTTTTCGGGCGTGTGACGGCTGTCTGAGTGAGTCTAGATGTGACGAATTTCTACCTATACCATTCAACTCCCCCTACTACTCCTTTGTAATCATCAAATTCCTCGTGCGCAGTCAAAGGCCTCACGTGCGCAAGCTGCTGGAGGCAATTGTTACCGACTGACAGCGCCGACTACTCTGTGTCCAAAAACAGCTAGCAACAACACCAAACCTACCTTGGTAATGAGTAATGCAGCAATCGGAAAACACTTGATCAATAAATAATTTCGTCAACGTGGCCGACGAGTATGCACGAAATCAGTGTCATCTCACAACCTTCGTCTTCCGGTATACTTAGCTACACGTATGAAAGTTCATATTTCGAACTTACAATTTGCACAGACAAGTTACAGGGTCTATAAACAGCATGCAACGATGAGGGTGGTACTTGAACGCTTATGGCCAAATACCGACTGGTGGACCTCAACATTACTCGCGCGGCGTTACTACAAGCATGAGCAATGCTTGGCAGGTATCGATGGTCCGAATCGATAGATTTCTCAACGCTCTTGTAGTAACACTAGTCTCGCGGCAACGTCGTACACTCTTCCATCAACTGATGTCATAAATTTCTACTTCCACAAATAACACTTCGAGGGCCACATACGCCCTGTTGACGCGCGTCATGCCGCCTTCCGGGACGTAACAATCAGAAATGGCATCGTTGCCCGGATAACTGAACCCATCTATGACTTTCAGTAGTTTGTTCATTGATAGTGAGAACCAATGATGTGAAGGCCAAGTCCAACGATTCGAAAGCACGAAACACATGCCAAAGTGTAAGTTATGACGCATCCGCCTTTAGAGCCACGTTTGTGAAGCACATGGGTCCGACGCAAATAGAAATACGGCATTAGTATGCTACAAGTTGGTCAATCGGTCGACCAACAGAACCGCAGCTATAGAGGGAAAAATGGTCATTTGTGACCAATTTACGCATGGGTAAAGACATAGGACAGCCATGAATAACACACCATATGTCATGGATAGGAGCTTGAGCTTTACTCTACCAAGAATCAGAAGACGCGATATGAGGATATCAGAATATGAGGAATTTTTCAGCACGCCCTTCAGCAACACAGTATCAAAGCCAGTAGCGAAGCTAGTGCGGCCTTTAAGCCAGGGAAATGACCATGATGGGCTGTATGTATGCCTGATGTTTATAACGTTGTCAGTGAAGTGTAAGCATATGAACATTGAACAATGAAATATATTACAGGTAAAAAAGCGGTTGCTTTACAAGTCCCGTAGGATGGTTGAAGTGAAAGCAAACATAAGTGTAAATCGGCAAGTTAAGCGTCTAGCGGTTCATGTGCCCCTTATACATATAAATATTTTATTATGTGCACTCAATTGTTGCTGTAGAGTAGTATGGGAAGTAATATGTGGAAGGTATCTCTTAAGAACAAAAGAAACGACAAGGCTTACTTGTGCGCCGCTTTCTTGGACTGAGGTACATTGATGAATGCAGTTGTAATATATCCGAAACTATATTCCACAACAGCAGTGTGTAAGTAGTGAAACACAAAAGCTGAGAATTAGTCCCGTTTGTTCGCGTTTAGTTGACGTAGAAAACTGTGATTATATAGCGCAATGTACGTGGATAAGCGAATCATCCAGACGTCTTTTGAATACCGTTCGCGTGGGGGAAGAAACAACGTATGTGGAAAGAGCGTTCCCGTGCTGACACACACGAACGGAAAAGAAATTCCGGCGGCACCCCAACCGGCTGTATTGTGTGTCCAGCTTTAGATGGTGTCCTCTGAGTGTGATATTGCTATTCAGCTTTAGTAGGTGACGATAAGAATGGTTTGGATTCCTCAAGATCATTCCTCAAGTCATTATCAAATCGCCACGCAGGCGTCGATATTGTCCACTGTAGACCCCGAGGGTTTTCAGCCTCAAGCGGTAAGGGAGATGAAACAGGCCCTTTACGTTGTTGGTCGCCCTTCGTTGTGGCATTTCAAGAGCGGTAAGGTCTTGCTTTTGCCATGGCTGCCAAGCGTAGATGGCGTACTCAGAATGAGGCCGAATGTAGGCGTTGAGCATCTGAGAAAAGATGGAATGATCGAAGCGCCCGAATGCCCTCCGCAAAAGGTCAAGGTGTTGGTTAGCTTTTTTGGAGGCTTTCTCGGCCTGAAGGAAACAGCCCAGATCTTCCTGCACTATCGCGCCTAGATCGCATTCCGTTGTAGTGCGCTGCAATATCTGATCCCCCAGTCTGTATTCGTAAGTAGTTTTATGGCGTATGCTCAACACCTTGCACTTTGTAGCGTTGAACTGAAGCAGGTTCTGAGTCGACCATTCGCAGACCCTGTCCAGATCATCCTGAAGTGCTGCATTGTCGCTGGTTGTTCTAATGGCCCGCCATATCTTGAGATCATCAGCGAAGAGTAAGGAGTTAAAGTTGATTACAGTTGCGAGATCGTTTATGTAAATCAGGAATAGTCGTGGACCAAGCACTGAGCCCTGGGGCACTCCGCACTTAACGTCGATTGGGTCAGCGATGACGCCGCGAACTCTTACATATAATTATTCCAACATTTTGTAGGGAAGGGGTAATAATGGTTAAACAGAGGAAATTAATTGTCAGCCGACAATGAAATCTTCCCAGCGAATAGGTTCCCCCATTAGGACTGTTTATCTAGCAGCTATGGTAAATATCAGAAGTGTTGTATTTTCATGCAGAGATCTTTTACTAAAATAGCTGACAGCGTCGGCCATGTACGATCCTGTCGCGAACAACTCAGCCCTATACTACGTGCCGGCTCAACTATACTTAACTAAACCACTGACCGACAATGCGTGGAGGATCATCTAACTTCCGAGTCACCGGAAGTTAGGGTTTCGGTCCTGATCAGATCAAATGCCATGATCCAAGCTGGTAAAATGTTCCAGTAATCGACCGATTACCCAACGCCATGTACTCGAGTAAAAAGTGTCTGAAAGATTTGTTTAGTAATGACCGGAAACAAATCTTCTGCGTAGTTTGATTCAAATCGCCTCCATCACCACAAAAGCTAACTGCGAAGCCGTCGATCCCAAAGAATTGGGTTAGTTGACGAGGAGGTATGATTCTGACAGCCACTGTCAATCGTGTGGTTCCCACATCGTCGAGCAGCTGACAGATATGAACAGTGATACGTGAGGAGAGCGAAGTGCTTGGCGACAAGGAACTGCTACACGATTTAAAACTCAAACAGTTCGGAGAGCCATTGAAGTTCATTGAGGACACTTTTGTGCGGTGACTCCATGAACAGCACTTGCGCGGAGCGCAGCAATGCGAGATTGGTACTATTAGCAACCACAGAGTTCACGTGTACTCTGTTGTGAGGTATTGTTCTTGGCTGAAAATCACTGAAGTACGAGCATCGGTAGTCACACACCTAAACTAGAAGAATCCGTGCGAACAAGAATTAGTTTCCCAACTTGAAGGCATCCAACCAAAGTATGTGTGGCAAAATGTTGGGAACGATCACCGCAAAAGCTCGCCGCACTGATAGTTCAGTGTTGACATTGTGGCAGAGAATCGCACATGGATGAGGAAACACTAGCACTTTTCAGGTATACAACGCGCATCAAGCAAAAGGGGGCCCATGCAGCAAGACATGGGAAGGAACAGATTGTTCGCCTTGTGGCGAGAAGGGTCAACATGAAATATCGGTCCACTGCAGGGCTCAACTAGCCAAGTGAATCAATCGATCAACTACTGTGCCAGGCATAAAAATCGTTTGTTTATGCCACTGAGCATAGAAGTTACTCATGGCGTTCGATTGCGGCTCATCCGATAACTTCTTCCTAGCAGTGCAACGTATAAGTCGGACATAAGCGTGGAAATTCCGCAACCCAGAGAATGTCTTCTCATTTATGGTGGAGTCGTTATTATCCTGTACCCGGTGAATATAATATATATAATATAATATAATACAATATACAATACAATATATACAATATAATATAGTGAATCAACGGAAACCTCAGAGTGCATTGTACTGTTCTCCACCTACTCCAGAGTTGATCTACTCGATAGCCCAGTAGAGGCTGACACAACAGAACGATGTCTTCTGATGAGATGATAGTCACTTGAAAAGAACGAATGCACTATATCCATAATGGCGCACAGATAGCAGTGCAGTAAAAGTATGTACAAATGGATGAAAAACGAAGACGTGATTAAGCAAAGGCATCACGAAGCGAATAACGACGTGTCAAAAACGGGTAGGTAGATCACCAACCTGAAAGAGTGATGGGGTAGAAGTGTTCGTTTGCTGTGTGCTCGCATCGTTAATCGAACTGGGGTTCTGATGCATGGTCGAAGAGGCCTCGGAAGTGGTGCTGTTGGTTTCAACCGAACCAAGAGATGTGGATGCTGTTGCTGTTGCAGTAACACCGGGAAGACCTGCGTCGTCGGACATACAGGTCGGATCAAGGACTGAAACAAGACGCAAAGAGAAGAGTATGATGACTAGCAGGCCGAACAACGAAGCTATATTGAAGAATTTTTAAGGAACCGGTGGAAAGAAGAAGAGGAGGGAGTCAGTAATCAAAACGGATAAGCATCATAAGGATATCAAACTCAGCGTTCGGTACACAGGAGAAGGCGAAATGGTGGGGTAAACGAAGGTGAGTGTCGGGTGGTTCAGTGAAGTTCCGGAACGAAGAGAAACATCCATTTGTGGAATGCACAGGTGTCAAATATAGATAGTCAGTAAGAAAACCACTGGAAGCCTGAGTTGCTTAGATGTGCATCAAAGTGTGGGGAAAAGTACTTAGGTTAGCCCCTCCTGGAATCTGCAGAATAGGTGATGGAAGTGGGATTCGCATGCATGCATCGAAGTGGGGGTATCAACAAAACATTGCACCGCAATGTCAGACGGGGAAATGAACACAACTCGGCTGCCGTTGTAAAGTAGATTGGTTGAAAATGCAGTAGAGCAGAAGCCATCGATTCCGTGTAGACATAGACGGAAGGTTAATGCGATTTAGGTTGCGCATGAAGGCTAACCGACTCCCGCGACGTTCGTTGTTTGTGCGCCGGGGGCGTGGACGAAAGGAGAGGTGGCCAATCGACGACTTGGTCAAGAGGAATGAAGGTCTTTAGTTCGAAGTTGGCCTCGGTTGGTGCCTCTCCACACCCTGGTTGGGGTCCGAACGACGGTGAACATGTTTGGCTGGGTAAACTTGCTGATATGCCTAGGGAGCTGACTACGGTAGCGTTTGTGTTGTGAGTTTCTTTGTCCCTCCCCCTCCCGCTTAGTCTCCCCTTCTAAGCATGATCTAATTTCCTAGCATATAAATGTTGCAAAATGTAATTTCTGTTTTGCGGCACAATACCGCCTGCTAGCTTTCCGGAACGATGCCCAACCGTTACTGGTGGCTCAGTTGGCATCCTACTGTTGCATCCTATTTTTCGCATGTATTGCGGCACAATAGCTTAGGTGTTTTCCACCTATAGCTAACGTGTATAATGAGGATGATGATAATGATGATGAATGCGATTTAGACAAACTGGTGTCAAAGATTCCGATGATTGTAAGGTGTTGCAGTATAGTAGGAAGGAAAGCGGCAACCAACTGGAGAAAAGGATAACCATTTCAAGCCATGACGAGCTTTTAAGATAACACTGGTGCATGTTCAACACAGGCTGTGAGGTATTTCAGTCGCCAGTATTAACATGATCAGGCAGTAATTCCGAAGGGGTCTAAACAAAAGAAGCCTTAATCGCAGCTAAACGTGCATTCACTCAGAGGAGGCACTTTACATCACAATCACACAAACATGCCAAAGTGAAGGCGAACCCCTACCACATAGCGAACGAATCCTCGCGCATGATTCCGGGGATTCCGAATGGTATAAGTAGTCCCGGCGCAATGATCAACTGTAAACCCAAACTAGTGTTAAGTGGTGTAATACTCAGAAGAAAAGGAACTCTGATTGGAAGCGTCGTCCAGATGGAACCGGAACTAAGAACAGTGGTTACACAAAGAAGATCTACAACATGATAATATGGCTACAGTGGGAGTGATATGGTGCTTTCGCTTGCAAGTGAGGGGAGGTATTAAAGAGACATTTTATAACCGTTAAGTAAGGAATTGGGACAGAGAAGCAATGTTTGGTATTTGTTGCAAGAATTACATAAGGTACCAGTCCGTGAATCGCAAAGATGAGCACATCGGATCAAGCCCCATGGCGATGATACAATGTGCGAACCCTGTTTTGATCACGAGTACCCCAGAAGCGGGATTTCAAACGCTCAAATAATCTACAATGCCGTATTGAGAAACAACGCCAGCAGAGAAGCCCTGTAGTGAACCGCAAGAACCCTCATATGTGACCTAAGTGGGAAGCGTGGCAGTGCAGATAACGAATACCCCCCGCTCGTAACAGACCCGAAATGGGGACGGGGTAAATAGTTGAAGGCGGATAGCTACACAGTCTTCCATCTACAACCGAGCTCTGAATAGGGTTGCGAGTGTATATCATATTCAGACTGAGCGAAAACGATGTCAAAGAAGGCGTGCGCTTGCTCTTTCTATCATGCTAGTCATTGCAAATCGGAGCAATAGAATCTCAGTAATCATCGCAGAATAAAAATAGCATCATTTAGAGTAAGGGTGTCCAAACTTTTGCAAGCAGGGCCACATTTCGTGAGGTAGAAATAGGTCGGGCCAAATTAAGTCTGATATCAAGATAATAAGAAAAGTTACGCATGTACGACAAAAGTTCAAGCCTGAACTTATTATTTCATGATAAGGCCGCGGGCCAGTTGTAATGTTAACGCGGGACGCATTTGGCCAGCGGGCCGGACTTTGGACACCTCTGATTTAAACTAACCACAGATGTGATGACATGTGAGGCACACAAACCTTACTGAACACCGTAATACTCCGGAGCATAGCGGCCATAAAGCTGTCCACTACAGTTCATGAACGCATATACACTAGAACCTGGAACCCGTAAGATGAGCTGATATAAGAGTAATGATTTGAATGCTACAACGACCAAATACGTGACGATAAATAACCATCCATCCTTATTGAGTCTGGCCATATGATCTATAGCCGTCCAGATCCAACCTGTGTTCCATACTTTGCACATCAGTAACCAGAAGCGTTTGTGCATTAGCTGTGGACTTGATTCGCCTCAGCAGATACATGCAATGTAGCTATGTTATTGAATATTGCAGCTTGCTTTTTACAAATCCTGACGGACGGAAGTGAACCCGTAAAATTCAAGCTTTCCTAAGCTCGCATCGTTGCAAGTTGTAATTGATGTTAATATTGCGCTATACCACATTTCGTAGACTTCGTTTGATACGTTAGAAATTATCTTTCGCCATCATCTATGTTAACTTCATTTGTACATTCACGTTATACGCTGACATTTGCCAAAGAATGCACATTTCGCTATCCTTGTACCCAGCGCCAGAGTCCGTTGGTATTGGTTCGTTTATATCATTTTGGAGTATTTTTCTCACTAAAGTTTTCAACACGATCCCGCATTTTTAAATATCCCAACTCAACTACTAGGGAAATTGCAAGAGCACTTGCCAGATGTTATATATTCCATGTAAATTATCTATATTTTTAAATTATTCCTTGCTAGACATCCAAAGTTTAGTTAATTTTACTGGTAAACATTTTGGCCGTTTCTTGCCTACCTTGATACTACCACAATTTTATTTCCTCCCTGGGTCCACTATTAACTGAAACCACTAAACAAGTTTCAAACGATTGGTGAGGTCGGACTGCGCGACAGCGGGAGATTAACTCGGCCCCTAAAGTTCCACTTTCTAGTCAGACTGCGCTGGTTCAGATAGAGGAGACATCAGTTAACGGAGAGTCTAATACCAGTACATTTTGCTGCAATTCTCGCTGAACAGCCTGCATGTGGGGAACCGTAATGAGCACATTATATATACATATATATATATATATATATATATTGAGGGAGGTTATAAAGAAAAGCTGTGTACTTTTTTATCTATCCCTATGTAAGAATAGTCTCCCGCGCCGTGATTTTAATTGGTTGGGTGAAGTTGGAGTGAGATCACATGAGCTGAAACACAGGACAGTGGCCTGTGGAAGAGAGCATGACCCATTTCGAATATCGGTCACAGTATCAAGTGATCGGTATGGGGGTGGGGGTGGGGTAAAAGGATTTATGAAGCCAGCACGCCAGTCAAAAGGAATAAAGACAGGTGCATCAACAGATCGATTCGAACCGCTACGACAAATAGTGCGGTTCTCAAGTTGATAACCACCGATTAAGTATATGGCTGAGTACGCAAGATTCCTCTGTGTCGTGCACATGTGGGTGTGAAGAAAAGGATACAGAGGGATCCAGTATCCCTCGATCAGAAAAGTGCGGAAATAAAGAGCTAGAGGAACCAGCGGTTTCATGTGTGGATCGCTCGGGCCACGTGAAGCAAGACTTAGGCTATATATGGACTATGTTCAACCTACATTAGAGCATTGTTCATTCATGTGCACTAATATGCAGAGGTGCGATAAAATGGCTCTTGAGAGGCTGCAAAGGCATTTTACGAAACATCTAAAGGGATACTTCGCCAGTGACTTATCGTGAACAATGCTAAGAAATTGGTCCTGTTCTTTTATGACTGCGGAGGCTGACAAGTAACTTCTACCATCGAGCCATTCTGTGTAGGTTGACGCCAGTAGCGTGCACGTAGATACTAGTGAACAACACCAATTCAGAAACAATAAAATGAAGCTTTGCATGCCGAGCTACCGCACCAGAGTAGGGGTAAATGCTTCCTGATAGTGTATTCTAAAATATGGAACAAGCTGCCAAGATATACTAAGCAAATTAAACCGATTAGAATGTTAATCAGAAAAAGACAAGGGTACCTAACAATGAACACTATAACATATATGTTGGTTTCAACGGCGGGTTAGTGTGGCAATTGAAGGCGGTGTATGTGACACAGAACAGAACAAACATAGAAAACCATTATTCAATTATCTTCTCTTACGGTGCCATGCCCAGCTCGCGGTTCTCATGTCCCCATGAAATTTGAAGATGGAAACAAAGAAAGCACTCTTATCAGACTTGTTACCTTGAAAGTTTAGTCGGCCTCGCCTCATGGGAAACGTTTATGCGATAACGCCGTCATTTCGTGCATTCTTAACAATCACAAAAACATGCAACATTGGAACATAAACAAACGGTGATCACAGATAGCAAAACGCATGGGCTACCACGACAGGCTTAGAGCCCCTGTCAGCTGTTTTTGAATGTACAGCGGTGGTCGTTCGTGATCGATAACGATAGAAATCATTAGCCTAAGGATTTGAGGCCGCTGATTGCGCAGTAGGACGGTGAACCACTCATCAAAATTGACTCGGTGAGTAGTAGTCAGCAAGTGTCTAGTGACTGCTGAGGTAGCTGGGTTTTCCGAGTCAAAGGATTCCGTGGTCAAAGATCTCGTCCGGGTGCGTGATCACTTTGGGAAATGCGCACTGTTGCTGACAACTAGACTAGGACTAGTGTGCCCGACGTAGCTGTCTCCACAGCTACAGCAACCCAAATCATTAGGCTATCGTTATCGATCGTGAACGACCATCGCTGTGCATTCAAAACAGTTGACAGTGGCTCTAAGCCTACCGTGGTAGTCCATGCGTTGTGTTATGATCACCGTTTGTTGCATGTTCTTGTGATTAATAAGAATGTACGAAATGACAGCGTCATCTCACAAGCTACGTCCTCCGATTTTCATGTTTGAAACTATAAAGGAAAATGTCTGTTTTATGTTTGTACGATACTTGATTATTTAATGTGATAGTGACCGGTCCCATTTCTATCCATGATCATCATTCTTCCAAGCACTCTTGCAGTTTTCCATCAATGGTTTTTGGTTAGAAATATAGCAGTGCCACTGATGTCGCTGACCCCGAAGGATACATGCAGAGAGAAGCGCACTTCACGCTGATTTAGATCATTCTTCATCTTCCTTTACAACGTCGCCAACTGACCTCCTCAGATTGCCACCCAAAGAGACACAGTAATGGTAGATAAAAAAAATACAAGACAACTAGATTGCATATGTGCGAACAAAATGGCCTAGCCAGTATAGGTGATTTAAGTCTGACATTCCAATATGACAGCAGAGTCTGTTGCTAAACATCAATCGCACACAAAATCAAAAAGAAAACGGATGAGTTTTCGTAGCAATGGGAGATCTGACATTACAAAATGCAGTCAGATTAATAGCGAGAGTTGGGAAATGGTTGATGCATCATAAGGTATCCGATGAAACCGAGGCCAGAAACGTTGCGGGTGAACCATTGGGAGCCCATCAGAGGAGAAAATTACGTGCGGTTGCCGCTGTTTGAAATTAAAACACAGAACTCCGAGCAATGCTACAATCATGGGTTGAAAATAGTGAAGGCTTTATCAACCAATCTCGGATGTGAATAAGCTAGAAAGTAAAGCAGAATGCGAAGCTCAAGAGAAAACATCTGCAAGTTAGATTGATACATACTAATAGCTGGCGTCTGAAATCCAGCAAAAATCAACGTTCACCCGTGTAGTGCAGGCCGTCGAAGTTTGCACAGCGCGATTGTAGGGACAAGTACCGACAGTTCGATCCTGTTGTAAGGCCACCCAATAATTAATAACTTCCTAATGTTGGATTACAAGGAGATGGATTTCGTTGATGAGTTCACCTGTTTTGACAACTGCAGCAGTAGTGACGGGTAGATGAACGTTGGAAGTAGTTGTTCACGTACTGTACGAGCTACAACCGCCTCCATGAATCACTGAAATCCTTGGGGCCAATCCACAGGCCTAAAATGAGAGCCGCTCTCTTTAAAGGTTGGAAAACACCCTTTCGATATATAGATCTCAGGTACCATCAGATCTATAACCGCTGTATCGACGTCGACTGCTAGCACCACACGACAGGAAGGAGAATATGAAAGAAGAGGCGGGATAGAATTGTACATACAAGAATACTGATTCGCTTATACAGGGTACAAGTAATGTCAGAATGGAAGCTAGTAAAACACAGCAGGGTTAAGCAATCACATTGGAAACGCCGAAAGAGGGATGAGAGGCGGAAACGTAAGAACCAAATACGTGTGTCGGAGAAAACGGTATTTAAGGAAACTGGACCCTGAAATAAACAGCCATTAAGGACGTATGCCTGCAAACCAAATTAAAGTAATAACGCGTTTAAACAAATGTGAATAAACGCACGATAGCAAAGATGGAAGCCAGTAGCTGGGAATTGTCATACAAATGTATGTCAAGTAGGCATCCTCTTGATATTAGCCGTCTTGGCCAACGGAGCATCACTCGTCTATGGTTATAACAGGGTGTGAGCACCGATGATGTGTGAACGGGAGTACTAGATGACAACCAAGCCCACTTGTGACGAATCGGGATCCGCCAGTCCCGTTTGCAAGAGGTTGAGTGAAATAAGGCTCAACCGATTTGCCCAATGAACTCGCAGTAACGGCGAATGTAGCTGCTGACTCTGAAACCAAGTGACATCGATTATTTTCGCCTGTGAGACTTGGATTTGGAGGAGCTAATCCGTGTTTGGCTCGATGTGGCTCGTAGTCGACATCACTAATGTGTTTGAGATCACCTCCGAATCTGATTGCCTGCCTAAAGTAAGGTTGCTAAGTTGTCTGTAGCGGGAAAGTGCAAGTCACAGGGAGGATGTCTCCACGAAGTCTGCTTACTTTAACATGACAGCCAGTTGTTTGTGATTGCACTTCGTTATTACGGTTTAGCCGGTCGGACCCTAAAGGTCTCTTTAATAGAGTTAACTTTCATAATGACTTATTGCATCCTATTTCTTTGTAGAAGAATCGTTTTGGTTGAATGGAAGTGACTAAATTGTAAAGAGTACCGCTGTTGGAGTAAGTATACGTGAAATCGTTAGCAAATGATTAAAAGCGACCGTCATCAATACCTGTGGCGTTGCACGCCTATGCTGCACATCCACCTGAAGGATAAACCATCTATTTCTGTGTGCACCAATTTACCTGTTACTGAGATACGAGAAATTTGTCCAAACGTATCCGTGAGCATTATTCAACGTGGCTAAGCCGAGGATTGAACAAGACGTGCATCAACGCAACCATCACACACCTAGTCCAAACGAATAATCCGTCGTTATCTCTAAAGCCTTTCATCCCATGTAGCGTGTGAGGGACATCCAGTACAAACTTATCGGATTCCGAATTCATGCGTTGGCGGAGGCGATCCCGACTCTACTGAACAAACCCACGTTGTGGGTGTATAAACAGTTCGTCAGGGTCTTGGCTTTACCATCGCCAGCTGCTTCCCGGGAAGCTACGCGTGATTAAATCACACCAATGCTGGTCATTTTACCATCATTATTTTTAGCTACTCAATCCACCTTTCTTAACTATATAAATCGGATCCTGCCCGACATAAAGTGTGATAGTGAATTCCGTCAGTATAAAGTGGTTTACGGTTAGTCGGAACATCGATGTGGTGGGGGAGAAAAAGAAAAGAGAATAACAATAAAAATAGATCATTTATATGCCTGGCTTAGAGCATAGCTTACTGATCATACCCAACAACTGTAGTAAAGGACCCACTGCCAGTGGTGTGATCCAAGAGAGCATCCTTGGTCCTCTGCTCTTCTCGATGTATATAAATAACATAAAGGCGTTATTAAAGATTGGACGGCCTAGTTTTTGCTATATATATTATGGTATAGTACCCGTTTAGTACTATAAGCCTGAGAGACACCTTGGAAAAAGTATGGAGTCTAGTGGAACATCGTGGGACAACTAGGAAATGTCGTTTCCTGCGGATAAATGCGGGATATTAGCGTATCAGTGCAAAAATGACATGGACACCCTATAGCACTGCGGAAAGTGAGTTCCATTCCGCAACACAATAAGACTTGGATATTCATTATTCAAGCATCATGAGTGTGGAGGAACACATCGAATTCACAGCAGCCAGATCCCGCCAAACAACGAGGCTAAAGATTAAAGTGTTCGAGATCTGTGCGCACCCTCTGCTGGAATACTGTCCGATGATAGTTACCAGTTGTAGGAAATGTGATCGATTATATCTGGAGAACGTGCAGTATTGATTCAGCAAAGCCCTATTACGTGGATTGAAAAAACCATACTAGTCGAGGCACTGCATACTGTTTAAATTAGAGCCTTTGTGGCTAGAGAGAATGATCATGATGCTGCCCCACATAGCGCACAAACAAGTATAGTATACAATATAGTATAGTAGTATAGTACATATATATAGTATAGTAGTATATAGTATAGTATATATAGTAGTATAGTATACAATACAAGGGGAATGGAATACATGGCATGAGAGATAAAAAGAATTCGCTATCAACGTGTAGAACTAAAACAGACAGGCAGAAATATTTGCCTGACGGAGAAACGGTTATCTGCAGCAGGCTCCCTGCTGAATTGTGGTTCAGTGAGTCCAAACAATCACTTGGGAAAACGCTGAATAAGTATCTCACTGTGTTCAAGTCAAAACTGGACTGTATAGTGGAAACAATGCGTGAAGAATGGGTTGAAGTACAGGTGCATAATAATGTGTACAAACTGTCTGAATAACATCCTCTTGGTTTCGCTAAACTAGTTATATTTTGCCCATCCTAACATCACGTTATCTCTCGTTCCGCGAAGCAGACCCGACAGTTCCTTTTTCTTTTGACATCTGCTCCGAACTGCTAACGAGTATCACTTCTTTACCAGAGAAAACAATGAAGCAGTTCTCGGTGCCCAGCGAAGTTAGTGGTTCGATATCAATTACTCTAAAACTCGAATGCCATGAGTCGTGGGATCCGTCTAAAAATCATTCGGAGAGCCGTCATCTTTATTTGTTTCTGTAACCCTTATGTACAAACTGAAGCAGAATGGGTCGGATATATTCCACTCACACATCGATATCTTTATTTCACTATATTTATTCATTCTTATCTTCCAAACGTGTTCATCGTCCTTCGGTCACCATCCCAGCAGTCGGAAGACACCAAAGTGAGGGGCTTCATCGCTCTTGACTAAGTCATCGCTTGGCCTCCCCTCTCTTCTTACATCCACACTCCCGGCGCGCAAGGAGTGCACTTCGCGGGAGTCGGTGTGCTGGCATCCGCAACACATGGCCCAGCCATCAGAATTTGATGCGTGATATAACGGTGCTGAGCGGTTCACTTGCTTTTCCTGCACCAAATACACGACGCCGAACACGCTCATTGCCCAGGCGGTATTCACACTAGACATGAGCTAAGCTGTGATTATCAAACATAAGCGGCATTTTTAAGTCTGTCGAGTTGATAGACCAGGTTTCGCAATTGTACAGGATGGCTAAAAGTGCAACTGCATTGTAAAGTCTGCCCTTCAGCGCGAGAGTGTTGTCGCGTCGGTATCACAGGTGGCGGAGAGTGGCCAAACCACTTCGTACTTCTCTTATGCAGGTTGTAATCCAGTCCATTGGTGTTGATATAGCTCATTAGATTCTATTTGGAGCACCCGATCCTCCTTCAGATTGGCATACAGCAAGATACGCACATTGTTACAGATGGGTCAACAGGCAGCCCTTGCCCGAACATTAGAGACCATCTCGATCGATATCTGCTGCTTATCGGAAACCCGGCTACAAGACCTGAACTCTGTTCTCACCCTGCGATTCCCTTCAGGTGACACTAGCAGCACTTTCTCATTGCGTCTATCCGGTGACGATGCAGCTTCGGGCGCCGGCCAAGCCGGTGTTGGTATCGTCATGAGCACCCGGGCTGAAGCTGCTCTAGTTGATTGGATCCCAATCAGTAGCCGGTTGTGTGCGGTCCGATTGGCTGGCTCGTTCAAAGCTTCAAAGTCGCGCGGGACTAATAGGTGTCTATTCGTCATCGCTGCCTACGCGCCCACAAACGCTAGCGATGATTCGGTAAAAGACGACTTGTATCGTCAACTGAGCGAGCTCCTACGCCAAAGAAGAAGCAAGGACACTGCAATGCTTGCTGGGGATCTGAACACACAAGCTGGAAAATTATCCAGTGATGAACTGCTTCTGGGCGGCCAACATGATGTAGGCTCTAGTAATGATAACGGCGAGCGGTTACTTCACTTGTATGAAGATGTTCGCTTATTTCTTGCGAGCACTAACTTCCGACATAGCATCCGTCGGGTGACAAGGCGCCCACCAGCCTCGAACCAGCCATAGACGAAAGTCAATCAAATCGCGATCAGTTAGCGTTGGAGAGGCTGGGTCCAAAACTGTCGCTCGATTTGGAGCACATGTGTTGACACCGACCACGCACTTATATGTGCTGATCTGTTGGTGCGTTTTGGAGGACGCCCCGACGATCCTGTGAGCGCATAGACACAAGCCAACTGGCGAAGCCAGATGTTCTGAGTGCGTATCAAAGTACGCTGGCATTCGGAGTAAGCGTTCACTGAATACAGTTGAAGGTCACTGGTCGCATGTTTACCAGACCTTACTAAAAGCAGGTAAATCCATATGTGGTAAATCCAATAGCCAACATGAACACTGGGTCTCTTCGCAGTCACTGGAACTTATCGATGCTCGCCGGCACATGCCGGCACGAGTTCCTAGTGAAACCGTGGGAGCAGGAAACTGTCCCAACCGACTGAAGCCATTCCGTTATTGTCCCCATCTTCAAAAGGCTCCCGTTCGGAATGCGGCAACCTTGGAGGAGTCGCATCCAGATAGCCTGCCTCCGTAATCCTTAACAGAGGGACGCGCTCGTGAAAGCCAGATTCGTGAGGAGCAAGACGGGTTTCGTAGAAGCCGGGGATCCGCCAACCCCATATCCACTTTGACTCAGTTGTTGGAGCAAGGTCACATATATTGGCGGCCAACGGTTGTCGTGTTCCTCAACATCAAACGTGTCTTCGATTCGGC